TAAATAGCTCTTGACTGAGTATAATGTAACAATGTGATACTTAAGGCTGTGGGCTCTGGATTCTGCATCTCTGGATTTGAACTGCTGTACCCCACTTAGTGTAGATATTATATTCTATATATACAGTTGAGTCAGTTACTTAAGTAACTTTTCTATGTCTCTGTTCACTTTTCTATATAATAAAGATATTAAAGTACCTATCATATGGACTTTCTGCACTACTGCTAATAATTATAATGATCTAAGAGTCAGAATCGACTCAAGGGCAACGGGTTTGGGTTTTGGTTATATTGTTTTATATGTATTGTTTAATGACAGTAAGTGTACACAATGTCAGCTCTTGTTATGTTAATTGATACTAGGTAACTTTTATTCATGTTTGGTGACGTCCATATGTCTTTATCTTAATATCTGCACAATAAACAAGTATTGAAAGGATAACTTAAGATAATATGAAAGATGAGATTGGTGCTTCTGAGCCAAAGTTCTTGTTCAGTGTCCTGGCATATTTGTTTTTAGAAAATATTACTTTGTGTCAAGCCTATCCTTACATCTAGATGGACTGGATAACTTCCTTTATAGAGTTAATTGAGTAATGACGTGCTATCCTGCCTTTTTATTTACCACCTTGCCCGCATTATATTTGTAGTATTAAAACATAAAAATTGTGACTTTGGTTTATATGTTTCCCTATAAAAATTCAAATTGTCCTAGGGGCTGGTACTTTAACCAGCTGTCATATTAATCTGCTATATTAAAAGATTCCTCATGATATTATTTTAAATTCTAAATGTTGATTGAGAATAAGATATTAAAGAATTAGAACTCTAGATGCATTTATTCATTCATTCATGTATTCAGAAAAAATGTTAAGTCCTTTTAAGCATTAAACACAACGATGTGGTTATAGAATGTATGTAAAAAGATGTGGATTCAAAGACATGGTGATTTCACCAAGGAAATGAAATACAGGGAAGAGGAAATTTCCTACAGTCTAACGGGGGAAATTTACAGTCTAGGTAAGGGAATTTCGAGGAGGAAGAGAAAGGTCATTAATGTTGCCTTAGACAATACTTTCCAGGTAGATAATCATCATCATCATCATGGACTATGGGCAAGAGAAAGGAAATACAAGAACAGTGGACTGGGAAGTTAGCATTAGGCTCGATGCCACAGATGGGAGATGAGAATGTGTAGATGATGAAAAGAGAAACTAAGGCTGAACCTCTGGTTTTATTGCTACCGTATTTCACTGACAGTGAATCATTAAACCCAGCCTAGCATGAATTGACAAAGTAAGAGGCCTCTACACATACAACGAATGGGTATTCAGTTTGTTGGGGAAATGGTGAAATAGTTAGAAGGTATTTTTTTAAGGATATTACATATTATAAGGAACTTTCTCTAAAATGCAGACAAAACTCTTTAAGTAATGTCTATACTTAAAGGAATCTTTGTATTTTGACAGAAGACAACAAAGAAAACCCATTTAAGGTTTTCGAATCCTTGGGCAAAGAAATATTGAGTGACCTTTTGGATAATGTGGAAAAAAAATACCTGAACTTGTCGGGCACAGAAAAGGAAAAATTTTATGATGCCAAACCTGCAGACAAGCTTCGGGTGTTGGAGGCCTCTGTCCGAAAGAAGCGCGATGAGGCAGGCCGAATCCTTGTCGAAACGTTCTTTAGCAAGGAAAAAGAGTCCACCAGTGCAGAAGGTAAGACTGGATTCATTTACACTCATTCATTGTGTGAGTGAGGCACAATGAATGTCTCATATTTTCCAGGATCTGTTAGCTCCAAGGCCCCTTCAGTGTCTTCTCAGATGCTTGCATTCTTGTATTACTTAATATATCATTCTCACTAAACCTATCGCTGTCCTTTTAGATGCCACCTAGTCTTCTGTGGGTGGAGATCCCGTTTCCAGTTAGCTGAGAAGCTGAGTCCTTGTGTTTAGGCTGTTCATACTTAATAGCTAATTGTAGAGACTTTATCATGAAGGATAAATAAACCTGAATCCAGGTTCTATCACTTTGGTGACTCTGTGGCTTTGTACATTTTCTTAACCTCCGTAGGTATCCGTCTCAGCCTCTGTGATCCGGGACAATGCCAGTACTTTCCTCACAAGGCTTTGCAGTAGTAGTACTAAGTACACGCTGACAACTCCTGAAGTTTTAGCTCTCATCCAGAATGCTCCTCGGAGCTCTGGACTCATTTAGCTCTTGCTGCATATTCAATATTTCAACTTGAGTGTCCAACTGACGTCACAAAACTAACATATCTAAAAGTGAACACTTGATTCCCTCATCAAATCTGTTCAACTTCTACACCCATTCTATGTCAATAAATGGAACGATCCAAAAACCAGAATAAAACTTGTTTTTTTTTTTTCCCTTTACCAACAAATAGCAGCAGAGTGTCTGGCACACAGCAGGTACTTAATAAATATAGAATGAACAAGCAAATGGAATACATGCATGCAATAAGTACTAGCTATAATTGTTATGTGGGTGCTAAGATTTAGATCTTTCCATTGCTTACTCATTTCTGTGAGTTACAAAAATAGGATCTGAAGAATTCCTCTACAGTGTCTAAAATTGTACAACCTTTCAAACCTTTTGCCCCAGATTGAATTATGAATATTACTAGAGCCTAAATATTCTCAGGCCCAAGTTCACCAGTGACAGACTCAACTTGCCACAGAATTTAACCTGAAATTCTTGGCCCTGAAATGCGGGTGTTTATCAATGATAATTAACAATACTAAACAAAAGGCAACATAAATTGTAGGGATTTCACTGTATTAAATTAGCATTTTCAATAAGCCTGCCTCTACAAAGAAGGGACATTCCCACTAGCAGGAATAACATGCTAGTCGGATAGTTGTCTGAGACTGTGGCCTAAACTGTGTTCACATGAATATCTAAACGGGTTCTTTTGCAAGTTTAGTGCTTGCTCCAAACACTGGGATGCAATGGGAATAATGTGGTTTAAAAAAGCAGAGATAATGCAGGAAATAGGGATCAGAACTAAATTAACGGGGCTTCAGAATGATTTTAGCAACCCAGGCATTACAATGAGCACTAAACTCAAAACTGAAATAACCTATTCTGTTAGCAGAGCCTGTGGTAGGCAAGAGGCAGTGTAGACTCTGTCAAGAGTGGTGCAGTAGCTCCCTGAGCTCCATCAGCACTTGAGGCCTACAAAGTTATTCCGTCATACCTTGGGCCCAGCAGGTCAGGAAACTAGGTGAACTGGAACTAATAGAATATGTAAAGGCCCTGGCCAGCCCTTTGGACATGGATGCAGTTCTTGAGGGCCCTTCAGACAGTACTGAAGGCATGGAAGAGGGAATAGGAAGAATCCAAGCTATTTATTTGTTTGTTTTATTTAACCAGACTTGAATATGCACATACTACCTGCCACAGGCACTTTTATCATCTAGTTAGAGAGAGAAGATAACCCCTGGAATTCCTACCTGCCATGGGTGATGGCTTCTGAGGCAGATCCTATGCCAGTTTTTTCTGATTTCACCAGTTTCCTAAGATTTTCATCAGATATCAGATAGGACTCAGGAACTCATATTTATATCTGAACTTTCTAATTCCTTCATTTCTTTCTGCCATGCTGCCAGGCTAATTAGAACTTCCTTTGGACAGTAGACTGAACTGTAATATTTACTATATTGTGATGTTAATTGTACTATTGGATGCTAAATAGAAACCCTGTCTAATTTCCATTTTTCCCTGAAAACATTTTATCTGTACCTGAGCACATAATGGGTATGTTGGAGATGATGTTTATTAAGCTAGAGAATTCTTGTAAAACTGTAAATAAACTAGTAGCAGAGGAAGGCTTTGATGAGGAAACATAACCCACTGACAGGGGAAAATCCTAGGTCTTGTGAGGTCTTCACACTGGCAGGATTTTCTAGAATGGGAAGGGAGAGCATATATTACTGTTTAATCTGTGAAAAGTAAGAAATGTTCCAAAGGTTTGGTATCTTTAAATCCTTCAATTTTCTTCCTTTTCAGAGTTTGGGCACATACTTACTAGAAAAACATTTATTAAATAACACTATTTAAAAAGCTAATTAAAAACAAATTAATAAAATAAGAAAAACTATTATAAAATCTAAAAATTGAAAATTTCATACAGGTTAATATTATTTTTCTCATATAAATTAAATCAAATGTGAATATTTTTTGCTTGGCTCATGTAACTGAAGATAAAGATTTATTTCTGGACAGAAACTTCGTTATGTTAGACTTTGGTAAATTTCTCTTCTATTTTCTGTTTTTGAATTCCTTTTTCTTCTTCCTCTAGAAAAAGCAGGGACTTTCTGAGTCTCTTGCACAATCTCAAATAGGGCCAAGCAGTGTGGGATAATATTGCATTTCTCTAGGGGATAGGGAAGGATGACTCAAAACTAAACGCTCCAACAAGATGAGTTATTTCCTCACATTCTTAAAGGTGGTTTGAAAAATTTAGTCTTGGTTGTCCGGCACTTTGGAGGCAAGGACATCCAGAGCATGTCAGGATCTCTGACAAAAATTGTCCCTTTCACCCTAGCTACAGCACTGCAGTTACTAGGAAGCATTTCTCCTTTAAATAGCTTTAAATAGAACAGTGCGGTGAGGAATATTTGAGGCCCTTTATCCCTGAACAGTTAAGGTTTTTGACAGAAAAAATCATACCTAGATGGTACAAGATTCAAGATTCTTGAAAGTTTTTGAATATTGCATGGGTTGGGACGGGACTATCACGCCAAATGAGATGTTATATCATCGAATATGGTAGGCACTAGCCACACGTGGCTATTAAGCACTTGAATTGTAGCTAGTACCACATGTTGAAATGATACTATTTTAGATATGTTCTGGTAAAATATATTATTAATATTAATTTTATCTATTTTCTTTTTACTTTTCTAATATTCACATTAGAAAATTTTAAATTGCACACATGGCTCGTGTTATATTTCTAACATACACCGCTTTGATAAGTACTCACTCAACATAATTTTGCTCAGAGACAATAGGAAGTCAATATGAATGAGTACTCTAGTGTAAAACTGTTGCGAAATTTCACTGTATTTGCTGATTATGAAAATCCAAAGGGTCAAACCTGACCTCGAATCATCCAAGTGTTTTCCTCAGAGCCATTAGAACCTATTGTGGCATTTTTGGGTGAATTTGCTTCTCTACCAAGGGCTTCTCTTTTCTTAACTATAACCTCTACGTGTTAAAAAAAGTCTTCTTTCCAGAATTTTCCTTCTCTGTCAATCTTCTAAGGTAATAATTGAGCACCTGGGGCAGATGTCACAATTTTTACTTTGTGAAGTTATCTTGCAGTTCCTTCTGAAATGTGGGCCGGACCAGATGAGTCAGCAGAATTCACAGATACCCTGGAGCTTTGTCCTCCTGAAGAATTCCTGAGACTGTGTAAAGAAAAGGCTGGAGAGGTGCTGTGCTCTATACTTGAAAGAGAGAGCTGGGAAAAAAAAGAGAGAAACAATTGCTTTCTCTGAATACACATTTTTTTAAAATACTAGTTGTAGGAGGCAGTGATAATCTTTTTTATAGATGCTTCGAGCAAGGAGAAGCTAACATGGCCTTGCCCTAATTCCAGTTCTGTTTCAGCCCCATGATGAAATGCAGATTGTTCTGCTTTGTTCAGTTTTTGTTGATATGTACTTGGGATTTATGGCAATTTTAGCTGTAGTCATGGAATCAAAATATAAGATACCATGGCTGACTAGTAATTGTTTGCATTCTAGCTGAAATCCTAGACATTAGAGATGAAGCATTTTAAAATATATATAAATAAGTCAAGCCTACAAAGCATTATAAGTTGATGTATTAAAAATAGTACCAGAATAGTCATGTTACCAAAGTAGAAGATCTTTTGTGCATTCATTGTTGCCTAGATCCAATAGGGGATGTCTCCTAGTTTATATGAAATTTGATCTGAACTTGATTGCTATGAAATATTTGAGTAAGTAGAGAAGAGTGGGAGAAGAGGAGGAAAGGAATTATTCTAGTTTTGCCAAGATCCTTGAGTAGCCATGCCAGTCATGTCCTGGTTCCTGCTTTGGGCTCTAGAAAAATACCTCACTTCCTAACTCCTTCACTTCTTTCTACTGTCAACTCAACCCACTAGGAAGTGAGAGGAAGGTAGTGTCTTTTCGTAGACGTTAGGGGAGAGAGCAGCTATATGAGCTCTTTATAAAGCAACACTGATTAGTCTATGGAAATGTAAAAGAGGCTCAGGTAAGTCAAACTCACAGCCTATCCATTTTCTGCAGATCTATCCAATCAAAGAAAGAAAGAACCGCACTCGTCTGGCTCTCATTATATGCAATATAGAGTTTAACAATCTCCCTCCGAGGAGTAGGGCTGAGGTTGACATCGAAGGGATGAAGAGGTTGCTTGAGGGCCTGGGCTACAGCGTGGATGTGAAAAAACAACTCACAGCCACGGTGAGAAGACTTCACTCACCTAAACACCTACACATTCAATACCCATTTCCTATTAACAAATTATGTTTATAACATTAGGCGAATGCTTTAACAACCTCAGGCCACATTTGTGTGTGTGTAAAATCAAGATATTAGGTAGTTGAAATCTAAATTTCTTTTGAGTTCTAAATATCCTCAATTTCATGAAATTGAACAGAAGGTGATTGATACGTGTACACACACAACTCTTAGTTCCAAAGTGTAGTGATTGGGCTGTAGCCCAAAGAATCCCCAGGAACTTCTAGAAGTAATGAATGTTTAGTAGGAGTGCACTCTGCACTTGCCAAGTAAGTATTGAGTCTGGCCTCTTGAGACAGAGGCTATTTTATGAGTGAGACTGGAAAACACCAGCTTGCACTGGCCTCGTGTTCTAGTGAGAGAGGCAATCAAAACACAAGCCAGCAGATAATTTTTGGAAGTGGTGAGTGAAAAGAAAAAAAATGAAATATGTGAGCAATGAAAACGGCACACGAGAATGACGTTTGATGATATGACCAAGAAAGGCCTCTTTGAGGAGTTCACATATGAGCCCAGTTATGACTACCAGGAAAGAGACAGCTCTGGAAAGATGCGAGTGAAGTGCATTCCAAGCAGGGCACTGCCAGTGAAAGATCTGAACTGAAGGTGTAACTGGCATGTGAAGGCCACAGCCAGCAGACCAGTGTGACTAGAG